CCTTCTGCAATACACTTGTATATGCCTGGGAAAAACAGTATGTTAACCCTAGCAGTGCTCCTCTGAGCTCCCTGTTAAAGAAATCCAGGTACTTTAGCACACAGCTTTTCAACAGGCACTTGTATTCATTAGAAGCAAAACTAGTCTATAGAAAGATGTATAAAGAGCTCCTCCTCCACTTCCAACAGCACCACCCTGTTTGATAACAGCGTTGTCTACTGTTAGTAGCATGAAAAAATGCCTTCTTTGGCATTTTTGGCAATTTTAACTTGGCAAGATTTTGTATTTTCAGACAGCAACTTGCTACTTCTACATTAAAGCTGCATTTGCACCACTGTATCTTGCTTGTCACGGTTACCTTAATGTGCCAGGTATTATCTGAAAGCACTGCATTTTCGCTTGAATTCAGCATTACAGAGTTCATGGTTCTGAAAGTTTCAGCCTCTTTGGTGCTGTCCTTTTGCAATGTTCGTATAAAGAAGAAAAAGAAATAGCTCCCTTGTCTTGCCATGCTCATGGGAAGCTGTATCAGGAAGGTGGTGATCTGAGAAAAGGATCCAGTGTTTAACCTGGCACTGAACCTGTCCTCCAACTTTTTCAACTGCCCTACCCTGCATTAAGTCCAGTTTGGATATTTTTTTTAACATATAGGAGAGCTGGCATTCAAGAAGACAAGCCAGTCACAGGAGATGGAGGAGGTGTGTGACCCTTTTTACTGAGTGAACAGCGTGTGAACACAGTGCAGCCCCAGAGTCAGATTCTTGCCTAGGTGCCTAGGGCCAAAGCTAAGTGTTGCAGCACCAGCAACTGGCACTACATAGCTCCTGGACTTAAGCACCCCTTGATGTGCTTAACTTCATCCTGTGCAGGAGAATAATATGGTAAATCAGTCTGGAGAATGTGATTATAGTCCCAGAAACTACCAAGGTCTCAGTTGTCTGCACTGAAATGAAATGCCATAAAATTCAGACATCCAGATTTCTCTGCTTTGCTTTTGTACATAGCAAGTCCTTTCACAGCAGTTCTCAGCATTCCTCCTGTGCTCCCAAAGCCCCTGGCACAAAGTTGCAGTCATCAGATGACACTTGATGTATACTTATTAGTTACATCACAATTCCCTCTCTGAAACAAAAAGGTTGGGAATGTTTCTCAGAGTGACTGAAGTGGAAGTAATATGCAACTCTCGCTCTCCTGCTTTGTTTCTATTAATTTGCCAGATGTAAAGTTGCCTATCTTGACCCTACATACATTCCACTCCTTCCCACTGCAAATTCTACGTGCTTACTGGGGTCTCTTCCAGATCATCTGGCTGCTGGAGTGCCCTTTGCATTTCTGAAATTTGCTGCTCCTGACTGAAGGGAGCCAACCAAGAAAATGAACTGCCTCCCTTTCTCCCTGACAAGAGACCAAAGCAGCATCACAGTTTCACAGCAGACTCAGGTCAGAAGGGATCTCTGGAGGTCACTTTGTCCAGTATCCCTGCTCAAATGTGGTTGCCTACAAATGGTTGCCTAGGATGATGTCCAGACAACTTTTGAGCATCTCCAAGGATGGATACTCCACAACCTCTCTGGGCTACCTGTGCCAGCTCTTTGTCAACCTCCCAGTGAAAAACCATTTCCTGATGTTAAGACTGCATCTCCTGTGTTTCAGCTTGTGCCCATCAACTCTGGGCCATCCCTGGGCATTGCTGGACAGAACCTGGCTCCATCTTCTTCACATATTGACATACACTGATGAGATCATGCTTGCACCTCCTTTACTCTGAATAGATCCAGAAAGCAGAGGGACAAATCAGGGAAAAAATTGGGTAGGTATTGTTCAATTTACTTTCCTCTATTGAGATGGTCATAAGCAAATGTTCCTTTCTCTTCCTGTTGTTTTCCCACTTTCCTTTTTTTCCTCATGCCTACATCTTCTAAATGTCATGCTGGAACCTTTTTCCATTTAATACCATGTGCCTGGAATCTTTTTATATCACAAGAAATGTTTAATCTGGAAAGGCATGCAAATAGAATAGCTCATGTGAGAAATATGAACTGGTTTGGTTAGTTTTAGGCTTTGGACTGATTTATGGCTGATTTATGCTTCCATGTGAATAAAACATAATCAGAAACTGTGGAGTGATACTACTCTATATACAAAGAGGAGAACTGCTCCTGTTAGTCATGGGAACATATAGGCCATAATTTTTAGAGCTTGTGAAAGGTGTGCTAAGTGACTAGTTCATTTCACTAATATCTGACAAGCAAGCCACTTTCATAATGGGAAAAATTACCTTCCTAGATAATTTGTTTTTTAACAACTTATCATATTATTATTCTCCTAAGGGTGCATATTTTCCACTATGTAAAAACTAGCTCGGAATAAAAATGCTGATAGACTAAAAACCTGCATTTAGCTTTAAAACAGAAGTTTGTGGGTTGTTAATTTTTTAGTATGTGTAAACTATGGTCCTTGATATTTTTGCTCAGAAGATAACCACATGTTTCATGTGGCTTCTGTTTACAAAAAGGAAAATAAACTAGATTACACTACAGGAAAAGGAGATTTGATGTTTCCATGTTCAAGAGAGCTCAGATGGAAATTCAGCCCCATAACCCTTTACTGAATTTAGGACATAGATTTTTCAGTTGTCTCTGTTCTTAAATATACTCTTGTATTCCTACTGAATTGAATGGGATTTTCTGTAGAAGTAAAAAGGAAGATTTTCTCTCTTTTGAGTTTAAAACCAGGTAATGACTTTGCTGACTTCAGCAGAATAATTCTTTATTTATACCACTATAAGCAGGGGTAAAGTCAGATTAGGAATGTACCTCAAAGTGACAGTATTCAGATGCATATTTCATCTTTGCTAAATGAAGCATTTGCAAAAAAATGCACTATTCACTGCTCTTACTGTTCTCCTGGTAAATGCATTGTGAAACTGTTTGTGGTAGCTTTCTCTGACCTTTTAAAATTTAGTAATGAGGACCCACAGTATCCAAAAATGTTATTCTCCTCATGTGATGCCTCTCCAGTGTAAACCCAGTCCTATCTCCAAAATGGCAGAATTAGCTGATAGACCTAAAACTTACCAGTTTGGCTCCTCTACCTGAGTGTGGCACAGATGAGGGGCAATACTTCCTTTGCTGTCCTGGATATCTGGATCCATTAGACACACCATCAAGTGTCTTACTTGTTTTTTTTCCACTGGCCATTCCTTTCTAACAGGCCATTCTCCTCCACCCAAGACTAGCAGCTAGGGGAGAGAATGGTTGAAAAGTCTTGGAAGTTCCTATAAGCATGGGATTTTCCCCTGGGCATGTTTTGTCTGGGTTGCTTTATGATGCAGAGGTTTTACTGGAGGAAAGAACTGGCCCTACAAGGTCTGGATACTTTGCTGAGAGATGAATACTGCTTAGCATACATAATTTCCAGTACTGGTGGGGAAAGTAAGAAGAAATCAGCCAGTCATTTTGAGCTTATGCAACAAGCTGCACTCCTTTGACTGTGTTTTTTTCCAGAATCCGCTCGTTAACTATGATCAGTATGTGCCATTTGTGCTTTAGGGGACTAAGATCCTAAACCAGTTTATTGGTGACAGCAACAACTTTCTCATTAAATGTTAATGGCAATGTTTTGATTAGTCCCAGGTTCTGGGAGGAAGTTAAATCTTTTCTTCAATAACCAGCAGTTACAAATGCAGCAAGTGTTAATAACCTCATAGGAAGCAAACTAGGTAGGCATACATTCCATCACCCAGAAAATGGATCTCATGTAGCTTTCTGAGGGATGGTTCACACTTTAAACCAAAAAAGTGTTTGATTTTTAATATGGAGATTTGGGCTGTTTGCAGCACCCAAAGCTGCAGTCCCATGATGCTGTTTCCTATTTCTCTCAGATCTAATGTTTAATTAAGGTGCTCCATGCCATACAATGTAAGCTTAAAATGTCATCTGGTTGAGGAGTGGAGAGGTGAAGATATTCAATCAGGAACAGCAACTATTCTCAAACTTGTAGCAACTGTGCTCAAATGTCAAAAGAAGAAACGTAAGAAATCGTGAGAGATTTAAATAGCTTCATATCTGACATGAGCTTTTAAAGCCCCTAATGGACTTTTATAGGGAAACAAGAGTATGTATGTGGGTTATGTGAGAATGGAAAAGGGCTTCATATGCAAGTGTGGCATAAGAGTTTTATCAAGTGTTGGCCTAAAGGCTAACTAGAGCCTGGATTTCACCTCTGTGCCAAATGAGAGCAGCCAGCTGTTGTTCCTCCTACCCCATCACTGCTGCCGTCAAGTCTTTGCTGCGGGAAACTTTGTTAAGTTGAGCCCAGCAAATGACAAGGAAAACCCAAATTGAGGCTTTTGAATGGGTTCTCTACAGTGATACAGTAACCTTAAGAGATACTTCATGGATACTATATCCCACTTGAAGATATGGGTTTGGGTTTGGTTTTTTTTAAAGGTTGGTTTTGAAAGGTCTCTTTAGCTATATAGTAACCTTTCTGGAGACTGTGTCTTCAGGTATAGCAGTTGTTACCTTGATACTCAGATTTTTTACCTCAGTATAAAAAAAACAGGTAGACTGAATAAGACCACTTATTCTCATTAAGCAACTGGTTAGTTTAGATGTCTTCTGTACTTTGCATTTTAGGAAATAAATTACAGCTGCACAAATAAATCTAGAACCTTTGTCATGGCCAAGAAGCATGTCTGTTTTTTGCACTTGGCAAAGCTTTTCCAGTAGATCTACTGCAGTTTGCCAGCCTCAGCACTGCTGTAACTCAGGAAACTCTTAACATGCAGCCCAACTCCAGCACAGCACTAGGGAGTACTAACAATCCATCATTTACTGTACTTTTAGCACAACGGGGAGAGATCTGGCAATATTAGTGACCTCTGCACATCATTGTGCTCTAGTGATTTTTTTCCTCTGGCTACATTTCAAACAGTTGTATGATAGGCTGATAACCATATTTTAAACTCAGTCATGCTTGATGCAGTCTTGACTTACCCTATTTGGATTGAAGGTCAGTATCTATGGTTTGATTTTCAGGCAGCCGAGGAAACAGGTAGTGCTACTTGTCCTGTAAAGCACTCAGCATTAACAACAGGCCTTTTGGTGCCACTCCTCTGAAATTGTGGCTCAAGATTGCTATCACTCAGCCTCAAACTGGCTAGAAAGCCCTCCTGATGGCTCTTATCCAGACTCCACCTAAAACAAAAGAGAAAATGCAGGAGTGGGTACATATCAGAGACAGGGGAAGAATTTTCAAACATTCCTAAGGATTCAACATGGTCGCTCAACCTCCCATTCCAAGACATCTAGCACTGTCAGTCCTACTGCCTTAGTTTTCCTTATAACCAGTTTATAGTAAAGAGAGAAGTTGGTACATGATATTTTGACAAGACAGTAGTGCCATCAAAAACATTAAGGATCTCCTGCAGTCTTCTCAAGCATTATTCACAAAACCTTATGAAAATAACCACACACTCTTTTGCATTAAACCATGCTTGCTGGCTGCCTGAATGGTGATAACAGTATTTGTAAAGAGCAGGTAACAGACCGTGTATGTCAGCCCTATAACTAAATGTAATTTTCATAATAGACATTCTTCCTATACAGTTTTTCCTCTGTTTGTAATGATGAATAAATCCACAAAAGTCCATGAGCTAGGATTTCTTGTTTGACAGTTTATCTAACTTTTATGAATTAACCTACCTGAAAATGGCACTTCTAATGACAATTTGTCTATGTCAGTCTTTGCACATGCAGTATTTTGTTCTGTAATTACCAGGAGGAAAAAAATAGAGGAACCAGTAATTTTTAAAGTTTCAGTCTGCAACCAAGACCTTAAAATTTGTAAGCTGTGTAAGAAGCGGAATAAGAACTCCTGGGCCTTCTGGAGTCTCCAAGGCTGACACAGAGCGTAGTTCCCTACAGCCCTTCCCCTGCAGAGAAGATCTAGATGTTCTCCAATATGCAGCCACATGCTGCCACAAAATTCTAATATTTTCATTATCTCAAAGACCCTGTGTGTCTCTGTCAGGTCTGTTACAACGGAGAGGGAGGTTCCCAAATTTTATGTATACAGATGTGGATACACGCAGAACACGTGTTGAGAAGAGTCATTTATGCAGGAAACCACACTGAAATATGAGCAAATCAGTCAATAAAAAGTTGGGCAATTCTCAAGACAGCAGTTAAAAGATTGATAAATGTCGGAACTCAAAATGTCCCTCAGACATTTTTAGAGGTTCCAGGCCTTAGTCAGAAGCATTTTAAACCCTGGCAAGCAGCTGAGAACAGCTGTGATCTTGAGTTTGAACCATGGAATGAATTACCAACTTTAAAGATAGAACAAGCAGTCACAGAGGGTTAGATGATATAGTAAAAGTAGTCACAAATTAGAGGGTAAAATTTTTTAGTATTGTACAGGGAGGTTTTAACACCTGTACAGGGAGGTTTTACTTTGTACAAAGGGGTCAAGAGTTCTAAGATGGAGGAAAGTGGGCCTGAACCTGTTCTTCCTCCTTCTTCTTCCTTACCTCCATGTTCTTGGTGATGTTAGCATTTTTCTATTAGTTTAGACTAGAGACACACTGTTCAACGTAAATGATAGATATTAGCACATTATTGTAAATATAGTGCACGTAATTTCTAGTATATAATGTTTGTACCATCCCACTGAGGGGCAAAGCCCCACACGCTGCCCTGCAAGACAGACCTGCGGCAGGGCAGCAGAACATGTTATAAATAAGCAAAAATAAACAACCTTGAAACCAGCACAAACGAACTATAGCTTCTTCTTTAGCAACGAAGCAAAAAGACAAAGACTTTCTACAATCTCAAAATCACCAATACCCACAAATTCCAACAGATAAACATTGGCAAAAGTCTGTGAATGGGACTGAGCACTTGCTACAGAACTGTGTACCGTGTCATCTCATCAGCAGCCTCTTGAGTACTGCCAGCCTGCATGGGTTAATCTTCGAGTATCACCAAGAACAGCCTCAACAGAAATGAGGCTTTCATTCAGTGGTCACTCAGCCTTAATTAAAAGGCCACTTTTCAATTAAACTTCAATGACATCTTCTGAAAAGAAGTTTTACACCTACTATATTTCTTTTGGACAGAACAGTCTGCTCAGCTGTATTCCCAGCTGAACACTCTGTTTCTCCCAGCTTGCTGGCATCCACAGCTATTTAGAAAGAAACTTTGTTATGTCAACTGCTAGGATTTTCTACAGTACATATTACATCACCTTTCCTGAGAAACTTGTTTGAGCAGATCCCTTTTCTTACTTTCTTGTTTCATAATGTCCTTCACATTCCTCTTTCAATATTTGTTGTTCTCTCTGTGGAAGCTCAGTTGCTGGCATTTTAAGGAAAGGTTACATAGCAAAAAGGTCACTAACAGGGTTTTTTTCTCCCTGCCTCATACTCCTGGAGAGAAGCTCTCTGTGCGTGACACCTTTAGAGAAACGTTTAGAGAAAGTTTTCTTTAAGAAAAACTTACAACATTCACTGCCAGTTTCAGAACAAGAAAATAAATTCGGAGCATAAATTACCTTGGCCATTTTAATTCTACAGGTGAAGAAATAAGGAGAAGAAAGAGCAAGAGACAAAACCAAATTACGCTATGCTGCAAGTAAAAAGCGAGATCCCAAAATTTCATCCTCATCCCTGATACTTGGGTGACTGTGCCTCTGATAAATTTCTTCTTGTACCTCTGTTTACTTCTTGTTGAGTCTTGGTCCTTATGAAACAGCCTCAGAAATCAACAGTCATATGTCTTTCAAAATGTCCCCTACATAAAGATGTACCAATTGAAGTTTGGTCTGGAGACAGCTGAAGGTGTTGGGAGCCTTCAATTCTGGTCCAAAGCCTTCCAAAGTAGGCAAGGTAAGAACAAAGTGTGTTAAGTCTGGGGACAGGACTTGGAATAAGCTGGGAATGAAGCATAGGAGAAAAGAAAAGATAGACAGTTCTAAACTTAGGTGTATAAATGTGGGTGGCTTAATGCTCACTAGCGGGAAAACATGCACACACACGTGTGAGCTGGCACAGGAGCTGGCTGTTTGCTGTTTATTGATGCAGGTTCTTGTACAGTCCCTCCTTGCAGTGCGGGATAGAGCTTGTTGTAGAGCTTCAGCTCAAAAACATGGTAAGGATGCTTATTTTGGTTACTGCTAAGTGGTTGAACATGAAGTTGGGAGGTATCTTTTATCCAAACGCAGCTCTTTCTTCTAAAAACAGTGGCTCCCACATGATCTTCTTGAATAGTTTGAGTTTTTCTATATAAACAGTGGAGAAGGAAATCTAATTTCTACTCTAGGAAAGGAAACACAGCTAAGTGAACACTGTTAGCAAGGGCAAACATATTATCTCTGCCTGTTTGAGAATCCACTGAGCTGAACAATATCTTTTCATCAGCTGCAGTAATCTTTATTACACTCAATTTGAATCATCTGTTTAAGATTAAACATTTCTTGAAAGACACATTGCTTTTAATACCAAAGCATTTTCCATTCCATTTGCTTCATTTTAGCAAAATGCTGAATGATCTGAATGATCTGAGTCATGTTTAACATGAAGTGTAACTGAAGCACCCTGCATCCTGCAGAAGTGCTTTGTGGACTTGAATTTTTAAAGAGATCTCTGAAAAATCAAGATTAAAAAACACAAGCAAGCTATTTTGAACAAGCAGGCATAAATTTAGTACAAATAAGCCCTCATCTTTACTGGAAAACCTTTAAAGAGGTCATAAAGACAAACAAACAAAACAAATCAAAACCACTGTGCTTCAACAGCAAAATCATCTAAGATTTAGCTTAATCCTTTTAGGATCAGTAGTCTGGACAGGCAACTAAAGCAATGGATAATAAAAATAGCCAAGCACTGGTATCCAGTTATGTATCAGCATACTGATAATGGTATATAAACAATGCTAAAAGAACAGGAAAATTATTAAAGCAGAAGACAATACTTCATTTACTGTTCTGCTGGAATTCCTGCTTAGGAAGTCACTAATGCACATTCATTATAAATACTAGAAGTGAGTACAGGCAGGAACTTGCCTGTTACCCAAATGAGTATGACTAGTGCTGAATGAGTCTTTACTAATCTTTTTAAGAGCCTGAACTTCACATCTCGAAAGGCAAGATTATTTGTGAGGTTCCATTCTTACACTTAAACACAGAATCAGACACATGGAGTTCTTCCAAGAGGTCTCTGGGTTTTGGTTTCTTCTGAGCAAAAAGAATATCAGAGTAACAAAGCCCAAAGAACCTGTTTTCAACTTGGTTAGCCAACCTACCAGCTGTACGTTGGTATGGGAATTTTATTCTCTTTTCTGGAAGAAAGAAAAGAAGAGGGGGGGAAAAAAAACCTAACCAAAGGAAACTAGTCCCGAGCAGTATTCTGTTCTTGTTCCAGTTGATCTGTTCAGGATTTTGTCACTGGCATTTGCTAAACCAGGAAAGACTTCTGTGTATGAAAAACAGCACACCTCCCATGGTACAGCAGGACCTCAATGCGCCTTTCTACAGAAATCAATCACAAGACTACAAGTGCTTTCCCACTCTTCCTGTCTTAGGAGTCTCAGGTGAAGAGACAGCTGCATCATGCCAACCTATTGGGAAACATTAGACATGAGGTGTGTCTTCCAAAAGGTCTGAATCAGGATTGCAATGCCCAAATCAGATGCCTAAAGTAGGGAGGTAGTCTCTATCCAGACTAGCCTTTCCCCTTCCTGAAATGCTGAAGTTACTAATTTTCCCAACTTGCCTTTTCAGTTGCTATGGATTTCTGTTAGAAAGAGGTGATACAGCAACTTAGTTCTAACAGCACCAAAAAATGCTGCAATGACAGATTCTGCTAATGGTACTGAGGAGCACTTCTGTCACATACAGAAGTTCTGTGTAGGATGGGCTTCTGTCACAGGTAAATCTAGCTGGTTTAGTAACCAGCTGGAAGCTATGGCTTCTACAGAGAAAAGGCAGACTCATGACAAACCAATGGATGTGACATAGGAAAGTAACTTCTCCTTCCATTTTTACACCTTCCTCCCATCATATTTTATTCCTTGTCCTCCCACTCTATTGCAAAAATCCAAAAATTGTCATGTTATAGCTACACACTATGTCAAAGACTTGTCTGTTCTCTCTCTCTGTATGAGTTAATCATTCCCAGCAAGCTTTCTGGGGCGATAAG